TGGCCTCTGTTGTAGAACCTATAAATTCATGTCTATTACCATTTACAGATGCTTTTCGAATGAAATTTATTGATTTAAATTATCCAGTTTTATTTATAGAACATTAACTTTGTTGGTAACAATAATTTTTTAATTATTATGGACAGTTATAACTGTACAACCTGATAGAGATGTTATCGAAAAGAATAAATATATTCTTTGTCCTGTAGATAATCCCAATAGCTTTATGGGCACCTCTACCAATGAAATCCACAACAATTGCTTGAAGCCATCCAGGTAAAAAGGTGTAGACTAGCTGGCTGACTGGTTGGTTAAGGGTCTTTATTGGATGGTAAAAAAACTAGTGAAGATAGTTAGAGACAATTGGAAATATGGTTCAAAATCTTCATTTTCAATGGCCAGTGCAGATGCATTCACTCTTTGGGATTTATACATATAATATCCAATAAAATTATATTCTTCTTCGATATTACTATTCTTTTTGGCGCACTCACACTTCTGTTTATTATCTCTCTCTCTCTCTCTGTTTTCAATCTCTCTTTACTCTCTTCTCTTGCTTTGTGTGTTACAAGGAGGAAGTGTGACAAATTGAACTGGTGCACCTCCATACAAAGTAGTTCTACGTTGAAACCAAACCGACAGTCAGTCATGGACACTCTCTCTACAATTATCGGTACCGTATGCATTCACTGAATATACTAAATTGCAATCTAGGATCCAGGAGAAAACAACTATCAACTAGAGTGCATTAATTGAAAGCTATATCACAATTGTTATAATTTATTATCATGGAAGAAGTTTATCCATTTATTGGTGATAATGACAATTTATAACCCTAATCCTATTGACTGATAGCTAACACGCTACCAACGATACATACATAATAGTCTAGAATGCATATATCGTAACAACATATATGCTATACTGACAGGGGACTAATTCTTCTGCAAAAGTCTCACACCATATAAGAAAGGTCGCTTGGATAAGCATCATAGTGTAAGTAATTCACGCGTCGTCTGGGGTCTGAGAGCGAAGTCGCACAACAAAAACTACTGTGGTGAGAGCTGTCTGCTAGCCAAAATTGGTAGACAGCGGCAATTTACGTCAATGTTTACGTCCCGTATCTTGGTCATGAGAAAAGAACAAGAACAAAGACTAACTCAACAACTAATCAGAGCAGACTTTGCGTGGGCGGATACGATTCGCAGATATATGGTCTGACCACCAAAGAAACGACAACAAAGAGATGACAGAATAACCTTTAGCAGGAAAACTGCCAATCAGAAGACGCTGTTTCTCTGCTAACAATAACACTAATAATAATGAACATAGGAATATACAAATATCTCTTGATTTTCCCAATAAACGATCTGTCACCTGACTCTTATCTTCTGTCGTTACACTAGTACTACTACTACTGGCTAATAACGATTGTAACAACAGTAAAGTGTTTCCATGGGAAAACCATGACGCTAGTTATGCTACCTCTTCACTCTGCGGGGGAGGCAAGGAAGGACAATAGAAAAGATTGACCCTAAATATCGCACATTCTAAAATTCCCCTGAAGTGGTTCATAGTTGGTGATCACCATCAGAGGACTTAACTCCAATCTAACCTAACTTTACATCACCAACTTTACACTACTGAATTTAGCATGTATGATATGTATCCCTGCCTATTCATTCTATAATCCCTTAAAATCTTATTGATAAGTGAGCTCATTGACGCTAGCTGAGAATCCTACGCTTAACATCACTATTACTAAATACATTACATACTCCATATGATGCCAACCAATGAACAAATGAAAACAGGTTGAAAAACTTACAGAATTTTATACCAGCTACCACTTTTAATGATTTCCCCCCCCCACCGTCTTACAGATAAGAACTGCTGTTTAGTACACACGCCATTTTATAAACAGCAGTCAAGTAACATAAAGAGACAAATAACAAACGAGGCTATTATTGCTAGTGCTAAGATTTCGTCAGTGGTCATTCTCCAATAGGAATAATGCAACATCCAAGCTAGTAGAAGTGATCAACACACACTCAACCACCACCACGGCATCCTTTAATTCTTCAGACTGGAAATTGATGTACACCAAAATATATGTAGTGTGCGTCGGTGACACGGTGGTAGAATGCTTGTCGACCATGCATGTGGTCCAGGGTTCGATCCCCTGCACTGCTTTACCTCGCTAAACCAGTAGTAATGAGACTGGTAAACAAGGAAGGTTGGGCATGAGGCTAGCAACCCCATCCTCCAGTAAAAATAAACACCACGGATACCGAAACTTCAAGTCTCCAGCTTGTAGTGCCATTTTATGTTTAACAGGTGGATGGAGAGGAGGTGAGGCGAGGTGAACACCATGCTCAACATACCCAACCCGATAGCTTATCTAAGTACTCACTCCACAATAAACACAACCTATTTTTGATGCGTAACAAGTCAATTTCTGCAGAAATGTCTAGATCAAACAAAGTAGCAACCATCAGCACCATTAAACAATAATGATGCAAACGAATATTCTCCTGAGAGACACCAGTTGCTATCATTATTTTAGACACCTAAACTCTACAAGCGCTAACATACAGGTGTGTATAAATCAGGGTATGACTGACTACTAGCATAAGGTAATCTCTCTGAACTCTCTTTACAGGTCAAAGGTCTCAGTAAACCTACTCTCTATCGAGAGTCAAATATCATATTAAAGTCAATTATTAAATACCCATAGATGTCTATACTTCTAGAACCTGTTTGCGGGTTACGATATGACTAACATTCACACGCTATTTGGACTTAAAACATGAACCAATTCTATTGAATTTTGTTTCCTCTAACCTACACTTCTTCTTCTTCTTATTCATATGATTATAACCGTCACAATCTTAGATGGTATAATTACACTGCGATCATCATCACAACGAGATTTGCTACCTGTCTAATAAACCAACACAATGAACAATTTTCATTAATGCAATGGAACTATTTCAGATTTCCACACAATAACTAGTACCATCCTAAGTGTAGGTCTTGGGTTTTCAACAAATTATTTTGCAGCCGACTAATTTATTATATACGTGGAACGTCTATTGACTGACCGACTGGTTTCTGTGTAGAACTACTTTGTAAAGATGTGCACCAGTTCAACTTGGTACACTCCCTCCTTGTAGCACACAAAGTAAGAAAGGGGCGAGTAGAAAAAGATTCAAAACAGAGATAATAAACAGAAATATAAGGCAAAGAGAATAGAAATATGGAAGAACAATATAGTTTTATTGGATATTGTAAGTCACAAGGAGTGGATGCATCTGCGCCATCATCGACAAAGACAATTTTGAGCGAAATTACCAACTGTTTTCAGCCATTGGTTTTTAGCGTCCTGGAGACGCTAACCAGGAAGTCTACACCTTCCTACGTGGCTGGCTGGCTTAAACTAACTGTTGTGGATTTCATTGACTGATGAAGTCATGTTTTGGTTTAACTACCACTAGGTAGCTCTTTTCCAACCTGATCAATACTATGTCAGTGATGTACTCCTGAGTAAACTAATCAATCAGTCAGTCAGTTAAAAGTCCTGACAGATATTCCAAAAGGAGTAGAATTTTCTACACTTATCCTTATAGTAAAAATTTCAAAGTAAACACATCTAACTATGAACTTTCTTGGCTTGATGTCGACACTGTTGTTAAATGAAATAATATCTCTTCGTCTCTGAACTTAGTACTGACTAGTAACACAATGAACTATGCAAAGAACAGTATAAGAGTTGATGACACTATCTCTATCTGATTAACATTCATTATATAAGCTGCAATTTTGATCACAACCAATGAAAACCATAGAGTACTGAATAGCTGTTTCGCACTAATTTGGGACTCTTCAACAGCACACAATCATCATCCCAATCAGAGGGGAATGAACCCAGACGACCTTCAGGGTTACAAGGCGAACTCATAAAATTTCAGTCACTGACATGGAATTCAAAGAACCCATCAGTCACAACTTTTACCAATTCGGGATATATAGCGCAACCATGACACCAGCCGATGTTATTGGTGAGTACTTGTTCCCATACCTAAATTGGTGGAGACTCCACTGAAATTTCAGACAAATCTATCCTGCAGTCAGTTACCACCAGTGGGCATTCGAGTTCAGACGAGTAATTAGAAATCTGATGAACATCTGGCTGAATTGTGTTCAGCCATTGAATAGTCCTACATGCAGACTACCCTTTGTGCTAATTCATACAACAACAGACACACAATAATGATAGTTATTATTCCATTCATTTTGCTTTCCAAGCAGAACACACAGGGCTACAAAGCTTGACTATTTTTTTTAAGCTTCAGTAGCAGCGGTGCTTCTTTTTACGCCATGGGGTTGCCAGCTGCATACACTCCAACCTTCAAGGGTCAGGGGTAAGGTTACACGTTACGACGTAAGTCAGCCAGGAGTCGAACGTTCTACCCCGTTTAAATCATCGATGCATATTGTCTGTTTACCTACCTTTATATGAACCATGGAAAGGAGAATATCGCCTCTTAATGCCTTCCCTTTATCTACATTATTTTTATTTTTCACTGTCATTTTCTGCGTAATATATGTATGTATGTCTTTATGTGCATGTCTGTAGAGATAGGTATGTACATTTATATATAAAGGTTGTTCGGAGACATGGTAACCTGGATCGATGAACTATAATAATAATAATAATAATAATAATAATAATAATAATAATAATAATCATAATAGGCATAACAAAACTGTAAATACTGTGTATCTGTCAATCATGCATTCCATAGTGTTAAAACACTGAAATACCAAAATGCTAAAAAGTAATAAATTCATGAGTAGAAGTTTAGTATTATTATTATTATCATTATTATTACTGAATTAAAGTTAGTCGGCATGAGAAGAGCCAATCTATGTGTTAGCTTAACTATTATTATTATTATTATCATTGCCATCATTTGCGATTACACCGTTTGACTTACTTATCATCTGACTCACTGTAAAAAGTAAAATACATATTTGATATGAAACTCCGATAAATTCAGCGTAATCATAATACTAATAATAAATAATGAATTTTCAAGTGTTGGTTTGTAGGGATTTGATTGGTTACAGGATTTTCATCATGAGCTGACATTAGTTAGAAAACCATTGGAAAACCTGCAAGGAGTACTGGACAGCTGTTTCGTCCTAGTTTGGGACTCTTCATCAGTACGCAGAATTCATGGGCCATTGGATCGCGTCCCAGTGGCTTAATGGTATACGAGCTCGCCTTGTAACCAGAAGGTCCTGGGTTCGAATCCCGGTGGGTGCGTACTGATGAAGAGTCCCAAGCTAGGACGAAACAACTGTCCAGTACTCCCAGGTTTTCCAATGGTTCTCTAACTAATGTCAGCTCATGATGAAAATCCAATAATGAATTTCTTTATTATCCTATCTTACAGTCGTCATTTGTAGCCCAATAAGCTCAAAGGAAGTCTTAAGATGTGAAAAAAAGAGAGACGGGTTGGGGGCGGGGGGACATTGTGCTATAACGCTACTGAAACTTTAAAAAACCACAGAGTAAAATAAAATAAAATTCTTTGATGGAAATCAAGAAAACTTTTTTTCCTCAAGAGGAAGAATGTGATACCCGCGCGAAACGCGTCAGTATGATTGATGATGTGCCTTTTATCATTTATGAAACCGAAAGTAATCGTAGGGTAGAATGGAATATCCACAGACGATCGAGTAAAAAAAGGAGTTAGGGAATCTGTGAAAGCAGATGGAAAGGAAGGCAACTCCTCTTCAAACTGTTAACTGTAGAGTCAATAATCAGTAAAACTAAAGTATGGCGATTGAAACACGAATGACCGCTAAAATGATTTCGAACAATTAAACAGAGAATAGCCGAACGACTCTTTAACTGCATATATTGTTATTATTGTCCTTTCGCGTTCCAACTGGAATATAAGAATTCTTGAGCACAACTGATCATAGTCTCTCATCTCTACCTCATACGGTCTGCTCCGTGTTATTCTTGCACCAACGGCAAATCGTCATCCACCCCCCCCCCTTGAGCGATGGCTTGCGTTGCTGCTCAATGTCATTCAACCATCTCCTTAGTGTGTGTTCAACCCATTTCCATTTTTGTCGAGTAAAAGGTTCTTGGTTGGCTGGTTCTTTCGCTCCTAGAGTTTCTTGTTGCTAATTCTTTCTGGCCTGCCATCAGATCTTCAGTATGGAGTCAGAGCCAGGCTTAAGCTCAGGAAAAAAGGGAAGGTTGGAACGTGGGAAGCTAGCGAGTCTATTTACTAAAGAAACTTCAAAGCACATTAAAAAAAAGATAACTGCTCGTCACCACTCCATATTCCTGGAAACCACTGTAAAAGTTATGTTTTATTTCATCCTATAAGATAATGCTGAAATACTAGATCCCAACGTCATTGGGGTGTTCTTAGCGTCTCAAAAGTCCTAGTCACAGACAGTTTACACCTCCCTCTCTAAGCAGCTCAAATTAACTGCCAAACATTTCATTTATTATTGACGCCATTCTTTTATTCAACTACTACTCATAACCATTTTCCAATCCTATCTTATATCAACTTGATATGTGAATGGATAGGTTGCCTGGAAAAGGATCATTAATCACTTGTCTCTTAAATAGTTAAACAAACAATTAGTCGGTTAGCACCTGTTCGCGCCTACTTAGTTAGGCATGTACCGTATTCTCTATAGATTGTCTTCTTTCACGCCTACATCAACTGGCCTATATATACATTATGTATTTCTTTGTTCCCTATATGTATTATATATCAATGTTCCTTTTAGTAAATATACTTTACTGTCTCATCTCTTGTGTGTTCTCACTTAAATAGCAAACTGGGAGATCGATCAGGTAACTACTGTTGGATACGTTGTGTTGGTGAAGACTAGCAAATATTTGTGAATACTGTGCCTGTCTCTGTCACCAGCTCGACACATCCCCTCCCCCCCCATTCAACTCAAAAACGTTTTTGCACAATATCTATAAAACAAATAACATTGCTCAGTGGGGAAAGTGACGGGCTTGACAAGCGCGTAACTATCTCAAATCGATGCAATCCATAAAACACCTCAAAGATTGACTTGCTCTTCTTCTCTTACCTAACCATTGGGACATTATTACTTTTTGGGGGGTAGAGGTACACACCCAGCTGAAAGGTTTAAGATGAGATAAAACATATCCCAGCCCCTACTGCTGGACACCTTAGTATTCCATACCAAAAATATCAGGTGATTTATGATTCAAAGCCGTGAAAAGAGTATAACTTCATGAAGATGAGTTAATCATTCAGCAATAAAACAATCGATATAAATAAAATAAATAAATAAAATACGTCTGTGAAACTATTGAACCTACTCCACAGCTCTCTCTCTGTCTGTCTTTTCAAAAGACATACAACTTACCGTCTATCATATTGATCTTTATTAAGCGGTCTTTGCTGTAAACCACCACCACCATCTCCACGATTCATGGTATCACTTGACGAAGATCCATGTAAACTTTCCAATGTGGGATTTTCTGTAATTAAAGAGGGAGAGAGAGAGAAGAAGAAGGAATATTCAAGTGTGGAAATCTAGTGTGATATTTATATATACACAAATATGAAACCATAACTGTGTACAAAAAGGCCTTTTCTCGAAGAGTAATTATAATTAATTAATTAATTAATCATTTATGCGGTTGTTGTAGCCTGTTGTCATGTCTGTTGAATACGTATATATATATATATATATATATAGGCGAACTCCTTATTTATTGACACATTTTTCGCCCTTTTAGTTTTATTTTCTCCAATCCCCACCATCATCATCATCATCACACTTAAGGTATGCGCAAATAAGTCAAGAGGAAAGCAGACAAATGCGTACACACACACACAAACACACACATTCCCCATCGAACGCATTATTTATTAGTCATCGCCTACTAGAGGATAGACATTAGTAAAAAAAAATTGACTATAAACATAAGAAGGAAGATTTACTACTGCTACAACTACAACAACACACACCCCAGTGGCTGTATGAATCAATAAAACAAAACAATTGTGCCAGATGACGGAAATATCAATTGGATGCTTTATACTCTGAACTATCAACTTGATGATATTATTATTATCATCATCATCATACTTATGGCATTCTATGTGTGGAATAATGGATGTTTACAAGAATACCGATAGTTAAAATTGATGAGATTGTAAAGTTCCGCCATCACCCCCACCACCCCACCCCTCTACACACACACACTCCTGCAGATAGCAATCGAAAGAGAAAGAAGATATATTACACAACAACAACAACCACTTGCAGTTGACAATCAGGCACAACTATTGTCTAAGGGCTAGCTGACTAAATCTTGTCAAGTGGAGAAGGATGTTTGGGTGCCTGTCTAGGCCTACATGAACCACAGCTCTATCCTATATCCAAGAAGCAATTGGAATAAGAGGGAAGGTTAGAGATGTGTTCAAAACCAAGATACAGCATCAGTCAATCAATCAATCAATAATCATAATATTATTATTAGTTGCTATTAGTCTGAAGTTTATTCCTACATTTTATTGTAATATTTCATCATCACATCTTTTGTCCTACGATGTGCAACAATTTCCGATTGCATTGTTTTCATTTTTCTACCGATACAACTCGTTCACAATTGGTGAGGACAGATGTGCTACATAGAACTATTACGTAATTCTACTGTCTGTCTGTTTTCTACTACATCTTATAATGATTTGTGTATATTTTGAAAAAGTATATTATAACCAATCAAGATTTGTTTTTAACAGCTTGAGCCAATATATATTCAACAATTCAATTCACCCGATTCAAAGATAATTTCAAGGCCTCCAAAGCCTCAGAATGGTCGGGGGTGGGTGCCTTGCGCTGCGGGTTGGCCACCCCACCGCACACCTCTTCAAATGCTCCCATATGACCGGGCGTCTTACATAGCCTCTCCTGAGGAAGTCCTACTCACTGCCTTCACGTGGCACAGGTGTTTTTCACCAAAGTGAGACGGCGAAAGCGGATGCCCGGCGCTATTCACCGGGTTGACTGTTCATTGGATGACAGTCTAGGGGAGATGGCTAAACCCTGATTCCAAACCTCCAACGACTGGTGTATGCAGCTCACTGGAGCTCACCGCCAGACGTATGGACAAAGGGCTTGTTGGAGGTCCTGGATGTCTGGCCCCATTCAAAAAGGCGTATGAACCGAACTCCGGTCACCGGCTGCCAATGGATAGTGGACTCCCTACTCCACTCCTAGTGCCTTGTAGGTCACACTTGGTTGTGTAAAGGCTAGAGCTACACTGTCAAACAAAAGGCCGAGCGATTCTGGGGACATCACTCGTACCAAATTCCCATGAAACTTCATCAACTCTCTTCATCAGATCGCTGCGCTTGGGCAGCGATTATTCGAGATGTTCATGAAGCCGGCTCATCCTTCCGTAGGAGATAGCCGAAGTAGAGAGAGAGTAATTAGAGGAGAATCGTCGGAGACCAAAAAGCAACAGACAATTGACCTCATTCTACTCCGCTCTCGTGTATGTGTCCTCATAATCCAGTGCATGATCAAATTGAAGAGCCTAACGTGTTGAGAAACAAATCCATTTCATTCAACTGTTGCTTCAGAATTTAATGAAGTGTATTTTCCTACTAGGAGAATGCATGACCAGCAAATACTAGCGACATAGCTAATTGACTTCAATTACTCACCGGTGGGTCTTAGGTTCGAGTCCTGTTTCATCTAATTCAACCTAAGTGTCTGAGTAATAATATCACCAGTCGTCATACGATGCATCTCGTGGTTCATAGCCTCGAACATTCAAGATTTATTTTACGAACTGACTTCAAACAGGATACTGGATGACCACCTGGAAACGATCTACGAGCTAGCGACAACAACTACTACTACTTTAAGGATTTCACATTCAGTCGTGCAATCGAAAACCACTAGCCAATTTTTTCTGCAGCTTTTAAAAAAAATTCACGCCAACTGGCTAACACCGCCTATGTGTGTTTTGCACGTCAGATTGATGATTAAATTAGATATGTTTGAATGAATTAGGAGAATATGAAGGCTTTGTCGTATAATCCTTGTGCGTCCGTAGGGTCCACTGGTAGAATTTTGCTCGCCAACTTGGTTTCCACATTCCCGGCTGACGACGCACACTCCTCTACACCTCCAATAATTTACCAGCTGATAATATGCCTGCTGTAAAGAGGGAAGGTTAGGCGTCCACTAGGAACTTAAAAATTCATTGGAAATAAAGGGGACAACAGACTTCCAATTACACTATCAATAAATATATCTCAACAAAAACAAAAAACTCACTGTGAATAACGATGTTCTCTCGGCAAGAATTATTATTTGCATTAATTTGAGATAATCCACAGGAATAAGAACTAGATTCACCGACAACTAAATTTGTATTGGTATTATTAGTAGTATGATTATTATTATTATTATCACCATCATCATTATTGTAATGACATTTATCAAATGAATGATGCTTCTTATCAGAAATTGATGATTCAATAGTCGACTCAACACGTGTACCACCTGATTCACTACTACTTCTCAACAGTGTTGAATTGTTACTAGACGATGAGGCAGCACTCATTGTAATATTATTGTTGACAGGTGATCCAGACTTTATAGACAACGGTGATAATGACGACGCTGATGCTGTTGACGATGTAGGTACAAATTCTGTAATTGTTGATTTATCATTATGCCGACAATAAGGATGATAAATATTATGTGAATGTGGATTCGTATGATGAATAAGCGGATGATGATGATGATGGTGATGATGATGATGACGATGATGATTTGGATCTAAATGTGTTGAACATTGAGGAGGATTAACAGCTGATTGACAAGTCAATGAATCTTTATTATTATTATATTATTATTATTATTATTATTATTACTGTCCCATCCAGTAGCATCTATGATAACATTGATCTTTCTTTGTTCCTATAATTAGTTAATTTGAAGAAGAAAAAGAAGAAGAAAAAAGATTAAGCTTTATACATCCCCAATAGACTTTTGTGTCAGGTTAATCAAGAATAATAAATTTTTTTCCCTTCACGTTCCCCAGTGGAACATAGGGCTTCAAGCTAGTGGCTTGAAGTTTCTGTAGCAGGGTTCTTTTTTACAGGATGGGGTTGCTAGCCTCATGCCCAACCTTTCCTCTTCACCAGCATTATTTCTGGCTTAGCGAGGTAAAGGAGTGCGTCGACCGGGGATCGAACCCCATACCATGTGCATGGTCGGCGAGCGTCCCAACCGCTATACTACCGACGCACATGACTTAAAAATACGTCCCAGTTATAATGAGGAGTATCAGTTGCTAAGTTAGAATAGTTAGAAAACTTCTTTGCACAAACTGAAGTAGTAGTATCATAGACGATTTATATGAATCTTTAAAGCCTACTGGTACGGTTACACCAAGATTATATGGACTACCAAAAGTGCACAAAATTGGTTTGCCGCTTCGACCAGTATTGGACATGTGTAATTCCCCATATCATGCAATAGCAAAATGGCTAGTGAAGCTTCTAAAGCCTCTGCATAATGAATTGGTAAAACATAGCGTAAATGGCAGTTTTGAATTTGTTGAAAAAATAAGAGATCTTAATGTGAGGGACAAGTTTATGATATCTTTTGATGTATCCTCCTTGTTCACCAATGTACCGTTAATGAAGACAGTGGATTTTATATGTGAAGAGAATACTACACGAAACATAGACATCGGGATTTCTATATCCACCTTGAAGGAACTTATTTTAAGATGTACAACGAATGTTCATTTCTTATTCAATAAGGAATATTACAGGCAAATTGATGGTGTAGCTATGGGTCCCCCATTAGGTCCAATCCTAGCTGAAATTAGAGAATGGACCACTGAAAGGAGTAATTAATGACATGGATTTCTACTGTCGATATATAGATGCTACATATCTGGTTATGAAAAATGAGAATGATGCAATGAATATCCTCGACAAGTTTAATGATGCACATTCAGCAATAAACTTTACCATAGAGAAAGAAAGTAATGACAATATAGGAAACCTACAACAACAGGTCAGTACACCCATTTTTTGAGTTTTGTACCTTTGAAATATAAACGTAACCTGGTGAAGTGTCTGGTTCATAGAGCTAAGTTAATCTGTTCAGACGACTGCCTCAATGAGGAGCTTAAGATTATTAAGAATTACTTGGAAAAAAATGGTTATCCAGATAAATTTATTGAGAAGAATATGAATTCAGCACCAAGGAGAGTCAGTATTGCTACAGTTTCGAAAAAGCCAATGTTCATAAAATTGCAGTTCCTTGGTGACAACATCAGCGAAATCATAACACAGCGCTTGAAGAATGCAGTTAAAAGAGCTTATTATGCAGCAGAGGTACGTTGTCTCTTCAAAACCACCCCTATTCTATGTTCGAGAAATAAGGATAAACTACCTAATTTTGCATCTTCTATGTGTGTCTACCAGTTTGACTGCAGCTGCGGAGCCATCTACATTGGGCGTACAATTAGGCAGTTTCATCGTCGTATTTCTGAACATCATCCAGCGTGGTTAAGCAAGGGACAAACAAGATCTATTCGCAGTTCTATTTTAGCACACCTTGTTGATACGAAGCATAAGGTTGATGTGAATACTACATTTAAAATTATTTATCGCATTCCGACTAATCTTAACTTTGCTCTACGAGTTCGTCTTCTACAGACAGCTGAAGCAATCGGAATCCACCTGAAGAAGCCAAGCCTATGTGTACAGAAGAAATTTGTACAGCCACTTTGCTTACCGTGGCCATCGTTACAAGACAGGACTACGTCGCCCCCCTCCCCCTATTAAATTATAATTGTCCAAATTATTTTATTTTATTTTTATTTTGACCACTTCATCTTTAATTACGTGTTATTCTTATAAAATTAATTTATTCTATCCATTTCTACCTTTTAAATGTGTATTGATTTTCTGCGTTAATTATCAACCCATTGACATTTTGACACTGTTTAATTATTGTTAACAAACATATCAGCGCGACTTGATTGGTAAACTGTTGTATACTGTAATAAAAAATGCTATGTATATTAGAGTAGAGCCAGAGATGAGGATCTAATTGAAAAGTAAATATTTCTTCGCTCAATCTTTCCGTTTTCTAAATGTTTATGCATATCTGACTATGGGGAACGAGAAGATAGGCATACACTGAACCGATAGAAAGACTTTAACAGATCTGGATTTCACCGAATATTTATGCCTCATTTCATACAAGTACGAAAACCAACAACACACTGGTGGTAGAAGGTGCAGGCATCAAAGACAGGAATTCAAGTGAACATAGAGAAAAACTAAATCAACAAAAACAACAAACATTATCAAAGATAGATATTTGAAAGTGGTGTCACTTGCTTTACTTATCTAGGTCAGCCGCGTATCAACTATAGGTGGTATAGATGAGGTTGTCAAACCCCGTCAGAAAGGGAAAAGTAAGGCAGACCTTCATCACTCTGATATCCACTGCACTCCGGCCTCAGTACATAAAGAACAAAATTCGCATTCTATACAACACCAATGTTACATCCATCAGTCGATTCTTCTATGTAGGTGAAAAACTTGGGGTGTGTATCACAAAAAGCATCTCCAACAGACTACCACCACCAAAAACTCTTATCAACGCTCCATACTCAACATCAGATGTGTCTAGCCGATCAGAACTAACTAGCAACGAAGAACTCTGAGAATGAACCAACCAATAAAGAACCTATTGATCAAAAAAATATACCAAAAGAAGTGGAGATAGATCGGACACACACACATTGAGGACACCATCGGATGACATAGTCCGCAAGGACATCGTTCGATTAGAACCCAAATGGGAAACGACGAGTTGGGTGTTCGTCAGAGGCTGAAAATGGAGGAGATCGTGTGAAGAGAAGATGAAAAAGTATGGACAATCGTGGGGCCGGCCAAGTGGAGAATAGGACAAAGTAAAAATATGTTGTTGAATCCCTATGTTCCACTTGGAACCCAAGGGAACAATAATAGAAGGATAAAAAATGCCTAGTCGATCTTCAACCAAGATAAATAGGGAAGGTTAAGGGTGAGGCTAACGAACCTACCCCAGAGAATCAACTCAATCGCTACAGAAACTTCAACGGACCGAAAAAATATATAAATATAAATCAATTAGTCGCTTTAATCAGAGGGATGAAATCACACAAACTGTTGCTAATCGACTGACGTTTCTTCTTTCCACGAAATCAAAAGTAAGCATACGAAAATGCAAGTTGGGAAAGCTCCTTAAATTGCAAAGAAATGAGAAGATAGAGCCAAGAAGTTAATATGAAGCTGTGATTAAATGGAAGTGGATTCTTCAAATTATCAACTGGAAAGTCATCCAGATGGTAACCATGAGTAACACTCTACTGAAGGAGTCGTTATCACATGATGTCACACCAATAGCACCGAAGGCTCTTATGCAGTGGGAATCCGAATGGGATTTGAGGATGACAAGGAGATAGTGCGAGGAGGAAATGAAAGCTTATGGGCAGTCAGTCAGTCGTGGAGCTAGTGATAGGAAAGCATCACAGAGAACACAGTGAAATGGAGATGAGCTGTTTAAGATCCTACATATATATTCAACCGGGAACCCTATGGAATAAAAATAAGAAATAAGAAAAAGGTAACCGCATACATGTTGGTTGTGAGAATCTAATGATACTCTAACTGACCGACCAAAATTGCAATTGAGATGAAGCAACACACACATATGAAAGTCATCACCTGTTTGATTGAGCCGCCGCCTACCACAAATATACGCGTAATCAGACAAACAGATGCAGAGATTCACTTTACGGAGAGAGACACAGAGAGAGATTAATCTCACCCGTGCATATATTCTAACTTCATCCCCCCCCTGGATGAAAAACTTCGACTGGAACAGGCTGGATTCAGGAGAAACAAGTCATGCATTGATCAGATCACCACATTACGGATCATCATTGAACAAAGCTTGGAATGGCAGTCACCTCTCTATCTCAACTTCATTGACTTTGAAAAGGCCTTCAGCAGACAGCGTCAATCGAGAGGTGCTTTGGAAACTACTTCGCTACTACGGGGTGCCACCGACAATTATACATCTCATCCAACAGCTGTACGACAATGCTGCATGCCAAGTAATCCACAACGGGAAACTCACAGAATCCTTCGAAGTGAGGACAGGAGTAAGACAAGGCTGCCTACTATCGCCAATGATTTTCCTGATTGCAGTAGATTGGATAATGCGACAAACAGCGGGCAATGAGGAAACAGCCATGAAATGGACTCACACAAAAAACTTGGAGGATCTGGACTTCGCCGATGATATATGTCTGATTTCCCACAAACTGGAAGATATGCAAGCGAAAAGCAACAAGTTGGCACAAGAAGCATCAAAGATAGGACTTCAGGTGAACATAGAGAAAACAGAGGTGATGAAGATTCCTGGGCAACACCACCAACAGCAACAGCAACAACAACAGACAACAATCAGCATAAATGGAAGGAACCTGAAAGAAACAACCTCTTTTACCTACCTGGGAAGCATCGTCTCAACTACAGGTGGACGGAACTGACGAGGATATCAAAGCAAGAATCGGAAAAGCAAGACAAGCTTTCACTACTCTCAAGTCTGTGTGGAGGTCAACAGCACTCAGCATCAAAAATAAGATCCGGATTTTCAACTCCAATGTGAAGTCAGTGCTACTCACTATACGGATCAGAGACTTGGCCAGCGCGTCATAAAGAGCATCTCAAACAAACTACAGACCTTCATTAACAGTTGTCTTCGCTCAATACTCAAGATCAGATGACAGCCGGCCAGAAAAGATCAGCAACAGAGATCTCTGGCAATGAGCGAACCAACACAGCAGGAACCGATTGTGAAACAAATAGGCAGGAAGAAATGGAGATGGATTGGCTGGCCATACTCTGAGGAAACAATCCATCAAGTGACATCACTAGACAAGCCATCACTCGAGTGGAACCCGAAAGGGAAGCGGCGAGTTGGTCGTCAGTGCGAGGGTGGGTGACTTGGAGGAGGTGATGTGAAGAGGAGATGAAAACGTGTGGGCAGACATGGAGCCAGGTGAAGACTCTAGCAGAGAACCGAACGCAATGGAGACGCACGGCTGAAGCCCTATGTTCCTCTAGGAATTAAAGGAAACAATAATAATAATTACCCACCCCCAGACTTTGTCAATTTTAAATTAACTTTTGAATTAAGTATTACTCCGACAGCTTCATTCATACACAAACATAAAACTTTCCACAGAAGTGTACCAGTTTATATTGCCACACTGAATGAAACACAAAAAGACATAGAAAAGAAAAAAACATTCAAAAGAAGCTAACTGTAATGGGCAGAAATCTAACAACAGAGAGAGAGAGAGTGTGTGTGGTACACATATGTGAAATCAGGAGAACTCAATGGATTTAGGAGATGACAAAAAAGAGTGAATACCTCTACGCCATTGCAAACGACTATGGACCATATATTACCAACAGCCAGAAGTCATTGGTTCTTAGCATGCCAAGGACTCCTCACCGCCTGCCTCTCTCTCCAACAAGACAGCCTACATCTCCCCTTTTAGTGGTTAGCTTAAGGTAGCTAACTGTCAAGAACTTCATGGACTGATGGATGCCAGGTTTTGTATTGACAACAATTCAACAATTCTTTTCCCACCACCTAATCTCCTCTTATGTCGGCTAACATTCTTTAACGAGGAAGGCGATGAATCGACTCGGCTTGGCTCAGCTCAGCTCAGCATACACCACAGACATACTCTATCCATCGTAATCGATGTAGTTTCACTATCTAAATGATTTGACTTACCATCACACTCATTTAGAACTTTACGCCTAACCTCAATAACACACACAGGAGATAGAAGGCAAGCGAATCTGAGTCAGTATAGAAAAATTATGCTAGTGAAGGTCGGTCGGTCGGTTTTCGACATAGAACTTTGTACATATGTGCGCCAGTTCAAGTCGCCACACTCCCCCCTTGTAGCACACAAAGCAAGAGAAGAGAGTAGGAGAAATGCATAATATAGACAGTAAACAGAGGTGTGAGACAAAGGAATAGTAATAACAAAGAACAAAACAGTTTCATTGGAAATCATAAGTCACAAGGAGTGGATGCATCTGCACCAGCCATTGAGAACGATTTTGAGCCATGTCACCAATTGTTTCCAACTACTGGTTTCTACCGTCCCGAGGACCCCAACCAGGAAGTCTACACCTTCCTACGTGGCTTAGACTAACTGTTGTAGATTTCATTGACTGGTGCCATGTTTTCGTTTGACCGCCGCTAGCTCTTTTCCACCCTGGCCCTATATCAGCTAACATTGCCTGTCGAGGAAGGCGATGACTATGCATGCGTAACACACGTCCTAACCATCTCAGTCGATGTAATTTCACAGCCTCGTCGATTGATTTCCCCTCCTTACCTAACACTCGACCGAGGCCTAACCTCAATATTGCTCACTTTATTATACCACTTCACATGGGAGATAGAACGCAGACACCTATGATCGAATACAGCTGTTCTGTTCTCAATGGCCAGGTCTCACAGCCATAAAGGAGGACGGAGCGGACTGTTGAGCAGTACACACGCCCTTTGGTCGATAGTCGGATATCACGTCTACTAAGCCAGAGACGGCGTAAACTGTCATATGTATTCGTGCTGAGATTTCGTCTGAGATCAACCCGTTGGGGCTGATGGTACTTCCCAAGTAATTAAAGCGGTCAACGTGCTCTACCACTTCACTTCCTATTTCTAATCTAGGGGTCGGTGTAGTTCAATCCTGCAGCATCATCTTACATCTTACAGGGGCGAATCGCATGCCAAACATACGAAGATTGTTGCTCAAGGTGTTCAGTAGACTCTGCATTTTGTCAGCATCCTCCCCTAACAGGACTATATCGTCCGCATATTCTAAGTCAACGAGATTATTAGAAAATATATATAAAAAAATATAAATAAGCCACAATGAAATCCTTACCTGACTTTGATGACTGGTGATAGCAGCAGCAGTATCATCCAATAGACAAGAAGGTTTTCCCATCATAGAATTTTGATGATGTAAATGATGGGGATCATGTGAATGAATTGCTGGGTCGTCGTCGTCATCAACATCATCATCTTCATCAATAGATGATGATGCAGAATGATGTCGAACATAATGATGGTGATGATGATGTAAGTGTTGATGATGAAGAGGTAATGAATTATTATTATTATTACTATTACTATTATTATTATTATTATTAATGATTGATATCTCATCATGTATTTGATGACCAGAAGACGAAGAGGAAGCACCACCACAAACACCGCCACGCCGCCGCTGCCGCCATAGGAAGATGATGATGATGTGTAAAATGAACATGATGATGATGTGGCAGAATATGAGATGACAACGACGATGATGAGGTTGATGTAGGACTAGAATTGAATATCAATGTTCTACCACCACCACCACCACGTGTTGTAGACGATGATGATGATGAGCAGGAGGAGGAGGAGGAATCCGGTGAATTCATATGTGGACATATATTACCACCACCACCACAACCACCGCTGCCAGCGCCACTACTACTGGATACTTCAATAATAATCCGACTGTTATCATCAGTATTCGATACAGACAGAGATTTTAAAGATTTACATGTGTGCTTGGGAACAGTAGTAGTATTAGTTGTGTGCAGACTATGACAGTTGGATAGTGTTGACAGTTTGGATTCAGTTATAGTAGGCTTTTTAAGACAAGCAGTAGGTGTTGCAGCACTTGATGAACAACGGGTCAATTCACCACCACCATTTGGATCATATTCACTAATAAGGAAAAATAGAAACAAAAGAAAGAATAAAATAAATAAAAACAATAGAATGCATTTTTAACACTAAAACGTATATTCATTTACTTACTTAACTTCGGCTATCTCCTACGGGAGGATGAGCCGGCTTCATGAACATCTCGAATCAAGAGAGTTCATGAAGTTTCATGGGAATTTGGTACGAGTGATGTCCCCAGAATCGCTCGACCTTTTGTTTGAGAGTGCAGCTCTAGCCTTTACACAACCAAGTGTGACCTACAAGGCAGTAGGAGTGGAGTAGGGAGTCCACTATCCATTGGCAGCCGGTGACCGGAGTTCGGTTCATACGCCTTTTTGAATGGGGCCAGACATCCAGGACATCCAAACAAGCCCTTTGTCCATACGTCTGGCGGTGAGCTCCAGTGAGCTTCATACGCCAGTCGTTGGAGGTTTGGAATCAGGGTTTAGCCATCTCCCCTAGACTGTCATCCAATGGATAGTCAACCCGGTGAAGAGCGCCGGGCGTCCGCTTTCGCCCTGTCACTTTGGTGAAAAACACCAATTTATATATATACAGATGTATTCAGTCTATGTAATCTTTCATATTTCTTTCTACCATTACTCATTCTGTTTCACTCTTATACTACTTGTCAAAACTCTACTGATTCCCTTCACTCATTTTCTTATCTACCTTTGTGTGTGCTTTTTGGAACGTGACAACTCGAACTGTTGCACTTCGGTGCCAAGTTCTATATTGAATCCAGACAGACAGAGACAGATTAATTTATATTAATTAATAAGTAATAATTAATTCAAAGTTTCCATAGTTTTGCCATATAAAGAAGTATTTATATTAGTGTAGGCAATGATGAATGTATAGGTAGAATGTGTACACTGGTAATATGATAATAATTAACAGCTTAATTCCAGACTATACTTTTCATACAAATATGGAATTTTCAAGTATTGACTTTCTAGGGAATTTTGTTTGATTGGTTGGAGGATTTCATCATCATGAGTTGACATCAATTTGAGAACTATTGGAAAACCAACCACAGAGAGTACTAGACAGCTGTTTCGTCAAACCTACTTTGGGATTCTTCATCGGAGCGCACCCACCACAGGGGGGGGTTCGAACCCAAGACCTTCCAGTTACAAGGCAAACGATCATTGAGCCACTGGGATCCAACCCGATCCAGTGCATGAATTCTCACTTCTGCCAATCCATGACATAGCGCCCATATCATGAATTCATGGACTGGCCATTGAATCGGATCCCAGTGGCTTAATGGTCTATGAGCTCACTAGACTTGTAACCAGAAAGTGCTGGGTTCGAACCTCCTGCGGTAAGTGCCTACTGCTGAAGAGCCCGAAACTAGGACTGACGAAATGGAAGACTGTCCAGTACTTCCTGTTGGTTTTCCAATGGTTCTGTAACTGATGTCAGCTCATGATGAAATCCTCCAACCAATGAAATATGGAATTTCCAACATGTAGTACAGTACAGTTTTGCATCTGATAACATGGGTAATAATTGAAACAGGGTATTCTTACACGGATAATATTATTCAACGGGAAAATGAATATAAAATTAAGTGAAAATGTTAGCAACAATGTAACAAGGGAAAGAAAAATAATGGAGGCGTATAGTTAGAGTTCCGCAGTAAGTTGTCAATTTCCTGCCTTACACCTTTCTCATTTGCAGACCTTTATCAACAACTGTCTTCGCTCTATACTGAAGATCAGATGGCCGGAAAGAATCACCAACAAGAAACTATGGGAACAAACAAAACAAGAACCAATCGCCCAACAAATATGCAGGAGAAAGTGGAGATGGATTGGACACTCGCTGAGGAGACCGCTGGGTGACATCGCGTGTCAGGCCAGTGCTCGAGTGGAACCCGAAAGGGAAGCGGCGAGTGGGACGTCCAAGGGTGACATGGAGGAGATCGTGTGAAGAGGAACTGTAACAGTATGGACTAACATGGATGCAGGTGAAAAGTACAGCAGAAGACAGAAGCAAGTGGAGACGTGCAGTTGAAGCCCTATGTTCCACTAGGAACCCAAGGGAACAATAATATAATAATAATACACCTTTCTCATCATATAAAATATGCGCCTGTCAATTAAGGTTTTGTATAGCTATTTTACCAAGTCATTCGAGAATACAGTCTTCTATAGTTACTTCTAGTTCTACCCGATGGGATGCAAACGTGGAGAGAGTTGTGTATGGAGAGGATGCTCAGGGTCTGACAACATATTATTCACCAATTTCTTACAGGAATCCATGCGTCTATCTACAAGAGTATTAACGAGTTGGTTTAGCAACACCACATTCACTCTAATGACAACTTTTTTAGTGCCCTACGCAGTACAACAAAATAGTGTTTCTCAAGTAACCTGGGAAGGATTAAGGTGGGGAACAGTGAAGAAGTATACAATAATTAACGAAATGTAACAGTAAAGAAGGAATAATACCAGATGATCTTAACTTCCTTACATAGAACGGCAAACGAGATATCCTTCTGGAAACTAACATGAGGCAAAATAATTATTGTCACATAGCGATCAGATAATATAATAATAATAAAATAAATTGTGAGACCGAGACTATTGAATCCTCCACTGGGAAATGTAATGAACGACTATACCATACAGAGGAGACGCAGCAACTGAATTGCCAGCTTGGAGATATCACCTCTTCTAAACCAGAGATGGCATAAGTTGGCAAATGCCGAACGGGCCTTTTGTCTCCATCCTGAAATTTCTTCGTCAGCGATCAGATCTTTGGAGGTGATGCAACTTCCCAAAATAGTAAGTGAAGTGGTCAACATGCTCAGTAGTCACCAGTTCACTTCCTATCTTTAAGCTAGAAGTCTATGTAGAGTCCAGTCTTGAAGCATCATCTTACATTTGACAGCAGGAGCGAATCGCATGTCAAACATACAAAGATTGTTGCTCACTCAAGGTGTTCATTCATATCTAGAATGATCGAACTTTAGTGAGTTAAATTAGCTGGATAAAGCTCGGAACCATTGTATTGTATCCCCACCACTTGCACACACACAAAAGGTTGAGGTAGGATAAAAGTATTAAAAAGTAATATAGTTAGGTGGAGACAGAGTGAGAGAGATAATCAGGAATACGACATCTATATAAGGTAAGTTATCAGGTTGCGTGAAATCAATCATATAAGCAGTTCGCTCCGTCTTTCTCTATGGCTCTGAAACTTGGCCAATACGAGTTGAAGACATGAAAAGATTGTATGTTTTTGATCATAGATGTCTACGGTCTCTTTCTCACGTTAGGTGGTATAATAAGGTAAGTAATGTTGACGTTAGGCGTCGAGTATTGGGCAAAGAGGGAAAATCAATCGAAGAGGCTATAAAGTTACATAGATTGAGATGGCTAGGTCACGTGCTGCGCATGCCTAGCCATCGCCTCCCCCGACGGACGGGCATTACTGGCTGATATAGGTGCAGGTTGGTTGGAAAAGAGTAAGTGGTGGCCAAACAAAAACATCACATCAATCAATCCATGAAATCCTTGACAGTTAAACTGAGTCAGGTAGGGAGATGCAGACTTCCGGGTTGGGGCCCGCCCTCGGGACTCTAAGAATCAATACGGCTGGAGACAATAGGTGACATGGCTCAAAATCGTTGTCAATGGCTTACGCAGATGTATTCAGTCTCTGTAATATTCAGTGTCATATTCCTTTATACCATTACTCATTCTGTTTCACTCTTATACTACTTGTCAAAACTCTACTGATTCCCTTCACTCATTTTCTTGTCTACCTGTGTGTGCTATTTGGAACGTGGCAACTCGAACTGCTGCACTTCAGTGCCAAGTTCTATGTTGAATCCAGGCAGACAGACAGACAGATATGAGCAACACAACTGTGCTCAAAACACCATCATCATCATCCAGTTATTCATAATATATATCACATAGTGTATTACACATATATCAAATATAAACACATAAAAGAAATGACTAAATCAAAAGAACATTTTTCAGCAATCCAAAAAGATCAAACATGTAATACAACACCAAGTGAAAATATTCACATCCTACACACAATTGAAACCAAAAAAAAATAAAGTCAGAAAAAGTAGACTATACTCAGTAAGTAAGGCAAATAGTACTACTACTACTACTAATGTGTACAAATGATGACGAGTAATTTATTAATTAATTTAATTAATGCATACACACACACATTTAACACTTTTAAAAGAATCATCAAAAGAAATATCTGCACACAGTCGGGTTATTGTCATTTTAAATGTCAAGTAAAATATAAGAATCCGGTGGTGTGTGTGTGTGCGTATGTGCCAGCAAACACACATAAAGATGGATGACGTCAAACTTTTTTAGAAGAAAAAAAACGCAACCTTACTTACTACTATGTAATAGTAAGTCAAAATGGTTACTATCATAGGGTAGAGGGTAAAGGCAAAAGAGAAGGCGAACAAAATAATAACCACATACATATGAACGTGGATGTTACGTTATCTGTCAGACAGACACACCTGTGGCTTAAAAAGTGTCTGGAGACATGGAGATTAGTGAAAGTGAAGTACTTAATCTAATGAACTACAGGGTCAACAGAATATCAGTCGTCTTGGCTAAACACCGCTATTTCGCTGGCTGACTGGATTCCACATAGAACTTGCCACCGAAAGTGCACCGAAGTTCGAATTGCCACGTTCCAAATTGCACAACAAGTAGACAAGAAAATGAGTGAAGGGAATCAGTAGAGTTTTGACAAGTAGTATAAGAGTGGAACAGAATGAGTAATGGTAGAAAGGAATATGACACTGAATATTACAGAGACTGAATACATCTGCGTAAGCCATTGACAACGATTTTGAGCCATGTCACCTATTGTCTGCCTCCAGCCATTGATTCTTAGAGTCCCGAGGGCGGGCCCCAACCCGGAAGTCTGCATCTCCCTCCCTACCTGACTCAGTTTAACTGTCAAGGATTTCATGGATTGATTGATGCCATGTTTTT